TGGGCCGTCGCAGAGCCCAAGGCGGCGGCGGAGGAGGCGGAGCTGCGGCGGCGCTTGAGGAGAGCGCGAGGCTGGAGGAGGGGAGGCGGGCGGCGGAGGCGCAAGGGCCGTCCTCGGCCGCAGAGGCGCCGGCTCCGAGGGAGGAGGAGCCGCCGGCCGACTTCATCTGCCCAATCACGACCGAGCTCATGAGCGACCCGGTGATGGCGGCGGACGGGCATTCGTACGAGCGGTCGGCGATCGAGCGCTGGCTCGCGACCAAGTCGACGAGCCCGATGACGGGCGAGGCGCTCGAAAACACGGGGCTCTTCCCAAACCACACGCTGCGCCGGATGATCCGGGAGTGGCAGCAGGCGCGGGCTTGATCGCGCTCGGCTGGGCACGGCCTAGGGGGTCGTGGCCAGCGCCACACAGTTTCGAACATGCACATGCACATGCACATGCACAGTGTATTGTCTATATGGACCCAGAGGACACTCGACAGATGAGACATCCCCTCACGCGTGTGTGCGTTGGCCGTTGAGCGCGGCGCCGTGTGCTCTCTCTGCCCGCGTGTGGTTTTCGTTTAAAACGACCCCGCCAAACAACGCATCGCACGGTGCTACACAGTATAGTAAGAGTGTGATTAGGAAAACAGCCGACTCAGTGGCATGCTGCTCTTATAATCGATCGCTATCGTAGCTGGTTCGCCTCGATTCCGAGTGCCGCCCCGCATCCCCTCCGCCCCGGGGTCACAGCCCCGATGGCGACGTGGAGCTCGTCCTCCGCCTCCTCCGACAGGGTGCTGCTCACCGCGCTCACCGCGCTCGCGCAGCTGTCTATCGACCACGAGCCGGGGCCCGCCCCACCCAAGCCGCGCGCCCGCCCCCGGGCCCGCACGCGGCCGGAGGAGGGGTGCCACGCGTCCGCCTCTGCCCCGGCAGGCAGCAGCGAGCTCAGCAGGTCCGAGTTGCGCAGGTCGGAGGGCACGCTCATCGAAGGCAGCAGCGATGCGCGGATGCGCGCGCCCGAGCCGCCGTCGCCGCCGCCGGATTGTGGCGGGAGTGCGCCGTCGAGT